AAATATAAATCATAAAAAGACTATAATATCCTTAAAATAATAAAAAGGAAAAATTATAACCTAGCTAACACATTACCCTCCTCCCTAGAGAGCATAGTGGTATGTCTACAAATTACTCTCCTTCTCCCCCAAAGAGCACAACAGTGCATCTATGATTATGCTGCATCTCCACCAAAGAGCACGGCGACGCACAAGGCCATTCCCTGTGCTCTCCCTACCATGCTCAATCTTCTTCTTCGTCTTCTTGCTGTTCCTTTTCTAGTTTTCATGTAGATCAATGGAGTGATAAAGATATACTTACTAATGATCGGCGATGCAAATGGCTTTTTGGTTTTTGATGGATGAAGGCCACTTATTCACTGGTGATGTAGATCGATAAAGTGATGGAGATCGATAGAGTGAGATGAGAACTAAGAGACATCATTCACTCGCCATTATGTCTATGTGTGGCTGCCGTCGATGTTGTGCTTGTGTGTGGCTGTTGTCGGCACCCTCGTTGGAGTTGTGAGGTGGGGTAAATGCTAGAGGGCTAGAGGGAGAGACAAGAGAGGTATGGGGTGGAGGGCATTTTGGCTAAAAAAATAATCAATCGCAGGATTGATTTTCTAATACCAGGGGGTAGGTGATATTGAGTAATCCCACTTTAGAAGAATTGGGATTGGGATTAAATTTTCTATTATCCCATACCAAACATGAAAAGGTGGGATTGCCTAATACCGATCCCAATCCCACCCTCTTAATGCTTTGTGGCAAACATTGCCTAAAGGTTCACCATAATCTTTAATTTTATCATCATGCAATCTCTACCATTTATTTTAAATTTATATTTTTAACATTATATTATTAAACAAAAATATGAAATGTCTTCTGAGCTCAATTGGAGATGAGTCTCACGTTACTCATTTCAATTGATGAGGTTTGGACTATTCAAATTTAAAAATTTTTATTTTAGTTTTATAATCATCAAAATAAAAATTATAAATTTTTATAATAAATTTATTTATAATCAATCTGGTCAGTATAGATTTAATTTGAACTATCTAATTTAATATTAAAATTTTTTATACTTCTATAAATTAACTATCTAGATATACTTTGGATAGCATAGATATAATTTGGATAATTTAGTTTAATATTAAAATTTTTATAATGTTTATAAATTAACTATCTAAATATACTTTAGACAGTATAGATTTAATGTTAAAATTTTCATATTCTTTTATAATTTTTTATTTTTATAATATAATATTAAACAGTATTATATAATAAAATTTAAAATGGATGGTAGAGATCAACTGAAGATAAAATTAAGAGCTCAGATGAGTCCTAAAAGTGATGAGCACACCTGCTCATCAATGTTGATAAACATGGAATGCGCTTGACAAAAATGCCTTGAAATTTTTTTAAAAGGAACAGTAGGTACCCTTGCTTTTTACTTAGAGTAATGTTGCCCTGAGGGCCAAAACTTTTAAAAATAGTGTAATTTTACCCTACTGTTAGGGTTAATTGTTTGTTGACTATTTATTCCATTTTATTTGCCACGTGGCGATACCTGGCATTTTATAAAAATTAAAAGGAAAAACAGAAATAGGTGGCCTCTCTATCTCCTATCTCTTCAACTTCTACTTAGCAGAACCAATGGAGATTCAAAGAGGCTTGAGAGTGGGGTTTAGACATAATAAGAAGAAGGTTTTGAGTGAAAGGAGAGTAGACGTAAATTAAAAATCTAAACATCTGAGGCTAAGATATGGCAATGAGAGTTGATACTCAAGAGGCAATGAGCTTTTGAGGCGTTAAGCAATACAAGAATGTGAGAATGTGAACAGCCATAATCATTAATGCAATAACGGATCAATTCTTCATCCATGGATGAACATTCCACCTCTAGGTTATGGCCTTGCCTCACCTGAGCTAATTTCTTTGACCCCTTTTAGGTTGGGTCTAGCCACTCACTATGCTCACAAAGTGAAAAATCCTTTTTTTGTCTTTCCCTTCAAATTTTACATTTGATTTAATTGTAATTCAATCTTTTGACTTCTTATGATTTCCATTTCCTCATAGTGTTTTTCATCAAGCCATTTGAGGTTGTTCCATTTATCCATGTGATGCATTTGGCTGATCAAGCTGGTGTTTGGTATACAATGGAAAATCTTGGATCCTATGAGAGGTGGTGAGAGGAGAGAGAAAGAAGCCGGGGGTCGGCTTGTCTCCACTGACTTCTTTCTCCATTTCCTCTCCATTTCATTAAAACGTAATGTTTCACTTATTGGAAAAAAAAATCTGAGCCGTTTGCTTCTTCAGTTTTCCAAGTCGAACTTAGTTGTAGATCGCAAGCTTGTCTCCATCGAATTCTTTCTCCATTTGCTCTCATTTTAGGTAATCAGGTTGCAGGTTTTTTTGAAGCTAAGTCGAACAAGAACAAGAGACTGAAACAGAACAATTTCATGATGTCATCTACATCGAGGATTGCTTTCCGTGTTGTCTTGATTGTTCTATTCTTTCTTCTTTTCTTCTCTATGGGCTGCCCTCTTTATTGGAAAATCTCCTCCACCATACATGATATCCGATAGATTAAACTTGAGGTAGGCATTGTTGGCTGATGAGAGTTGTTAAGGGTAGAAAACAAAATTAAAAAGTAAAAAAAGGGCTTTGTCTTTTTTGGGATTTTGTGATCTGGTGGGATTTGAGGACATTATGTATAGAATAAAATATCAATGTTTATTCATTGTTGATAGTTGAATAAAGGCTATTGGTTTTGAGATTTGTGCAGTGAAATAAACTAGGTGACTACAAAATAAAACTTCTATGCGCATGTACAGACCTTTTTACTTGCTCTTCAAAATTGGTGCATATATGTAGATTGGAAAAGGATTAGAAGATGACTCAATCTTGTTTGTCAAAAATTCTCATTGCCTCTTCAATTCTTTCATCAGACTGCAATGATATATTTTAATTCCTTATACTCATTTTTCTTGTTAGAAGAACTGGTGTAGAGTTTTTTGTGCTTTTAAAATGCATTCTTTAGTTTGGCAATTATGTCTATAGTAAGTGCAATATTTTGATACTGAATGTGACAGCCTCTTTTGGAGAGTATGAAGGACTATTTCTCACAGTTTTTTCATGTTTTGATAAGTTGTTGGTGAAATTAGCTTGGTGCTCGGAGTTTTACCATTTTTCAAGTAGGATTCATTTTTTTAGATATTGATCTTATCTTTACCTCAAAATGAAGTTATTGATTTTAGAGTTTTTTTATGGTCTCCACAGATTGATAATATTATGAATATTTATGATGTCCCAAACATTACACATTCCTCTCTTACTTAGGGTAGGCTTTCTCAAAACAATTTTTTTTTTCTTTTTGGGTTATAATAACTCTTGGCAACATTATGTATATATCATCTGATTATCTCCTTTATGATGGGCTGATATTTTTAGAACCAAATGCACACCATTCAATTCTAAGGTTGCTTAACCTACTCAAGTGAGTCTTGCTTTACCCTTTATGTCTAGTGATGTGAAAGCCAAAACAATATATCCTTGTCTGACATCTCATTGGTTAACCAGCATGAGATATATCCATAGTTGTGATTATGGTTGATTATATTATGGTATCTTATGCAAGATTTATGCTTAATAACTACATTGACTGTGAAAACCAAGGCTTTCTTTTCTTTGGGATATTAATTTGATGGCAGACAGTGCTAATTTATTTCATTGTAATGTTTTTTTTTCTAGCATTACTATGCTTCTTGAATTATAGAGTTGGACAAAGATGGCTGAGGCTTATGATAATCTTATTGATACTGTTAGTACCATGATGATGAGTTTGCAATGCTCTTTCTGAATGCATGTTATATCATTGTGCATATGAACTTTTACATTTCTTCTTGTAAATTTTGATTATTAATAGTATCCATTTTTATTAAAAAAGTTGTAATCACCAGTTCAAGAATTGATGATTGTAATCATGATCTTCATTCTAGCAAATAACAACTAAGGCATAAAGTTAGATAGAGGAAATGCATAAATAGAGATTATTCAAGATTTTATATTTGCACATTTGCATTAATACATTTTGATAGACAGTGATGATAACTTTACACTGTCAACTTTATAATTGCAGGCCAAACAGAAAGTGGCAACTAAAATCATTTACATAATCATCCCAAGAGCTACTGTTATCAAAAAGAGAGCAATTCAAGAATATAAATGCTATACAATCATCCCAAAAGCTACCATGACCAACAAGAGAGTAGCACAAGAAGAGTGAATGCTATACAATCATCTCAAGAGCCACCATGACCAAAAAGAGAACTCAAGTATAGTAAATACTACACAATTACCTCAAGTATATCAAGCAGAACCTGTGACAAAAGTAGTTCAAATGAAGCAACTGGAATGAAAAGAGTTGAATTGGATGACTTCATTTAGCATGATCTACATTCATATCTGAACTTGTATTTACCTCAACAGTATAAATAGATATTGTATTGTATTATAAAGTGTAAAAAGTTATATTGATTTAAATAAAAGTGACTCAGTTTTTCCTTGAAATTTAATGACTTACCATTTGTAAATGCTTGGCTGATTTGAAGTGCTTCAAGTGATGTCATGTCACAATCAAGGGGTGCCTATATTCAAGAAAAGAGACAAAATGATTTAATATTACATGTTACATATTAACAAAATAGTTTGGAATATATGATTACCATCAATACATTGGTAAAAGTCATTTAACTTGGTTCAGGTGTATCTAACAACATATGATCATGTTGTACTTTAATCGATGAGGTATCTTCTTCAAGCATATCTAACATCATTGGATCATGATGTACTTGACCTTGCTGTAGTTGGAAAAGAAATAATGATTACTTGTCAAGCATCTTAGGCAAAAAAAACATAGAACGAAAGAAAAAAATTAATAAAATGCATACATTTGAATCTTTTTTAGAGGCAATGACTAATGATGAAGATTTTTTAGAAGCTTGTAAAGATTGTTTTTAGGCTTGAATTCTTTGTCTTTTCTGACTTGATTTCTCCACACAACTTCTAAGTCGTTTTTTGCTTTTTCTACCATCTCTCTTTTTAAAGCCAATTACTTTACTATCACCACCATTACCTCCATCAACATAGATACTCTTATGATTCCTTTCACCATCCCCATCACCATCATTATCTTTTTGCTTTATGCGAAGCTCATTCACTCTCTTAGTAAGTTCCAATATGCCTTCATGAACTAGAGAGAATGCTTCAAGACTTTCTGATGCATCACTGGCTAACTTAACAACCATAGGGCATAATTGCCTATATCGTCTTGACGTTTCTAGTTTGGGATTGGCTTTAATCTGCTTTCCCTTCAAATCATACACTACACCACTTCGTGCTTCTCTTGTCCACCTCTTTGTTATATATTTTTCTGGAAGTAACTTGACATCACGATCATACAAGACTCTTAATGCATGACAACATAATATGCCCACTCGTTCAAACTTTTTACAACTGTAAGTAATTGTCTCAGTTAACGGATCAAATGTCAAACTATACACTCCTCTCTTATTAACCATGGTGATGACATAATCAAACAAGGTGGCACAATTCTCTTCATCTTCATTTGTCTTCCTTTGTTTTCTCTCTTTTATACATGTAGCATCACGTAAATCATATTGGAACTGGAACAAATCAAAAATTGGTCGAGTGTAGACTTCAGAAAGCTGACGAAGCATACATGAATTCTGCAATATCAACCTTGGCAACTTATCACGTGTATCAAATTCACGTTCTAACTCCGTGTAACGCTTATCCTCTATAGCTTGTTCAAATTTTTGAAAGAATTGATTAAGATCATTTTTTGGATGTGTGCAACTTTTTACACAATAATTGATACTTTTACTAATTTGAATGCTTCTCATACCAAGCGTCATTGACCCCTTAATATAACATGCTGCCCATTTCTCCTTTATTTGGTACATAGATATCAACCAAGCATTTTCTTCCATTCTATGTCTTGATAATAATTCTTGCCAAGCTTCCTCAAACTCTGTTTCATTCCAACAATGATACATGCAATGGTTGAAATCAGACATAATATGGGATCCATCCTTTGTTGAGTTATTAAGGTGCTTCATTGCATTCCTTGAAATATGCCATGTACACAAGGCATGTTTTACTTCTGGCATCACTTCCTGTAATGCACGTGTCATTGCAGCATCCTGATTAGTAAAAATAGTTAGTGGCCTTACATTCTTGTGTGCCCGCAAAAAAATCTCAAAGAGCCATTTGAAAGACTCAATGGTCTCATCATATAACAATGCGGCTCCAAATATTACCCCTCCTCTATAATGGTTAATGCCAGAGAAAATAGCAAGAGGTCTATTATCTCGATTTGTGCAATAAGTTGTATCAAGTGAAATGACTTCTCCAAAGTAAGCATAGTCAATTAACATTCATGCATCTGCCTAGAACACATTTGTAACTTGCTCCTCTAAGTCCATTTGATGAGCATGAAAAAAAGATGAATTTTCCACCAATTGTTCTTCAAAGTAACGAAAAAACATCCAGCTTCACCATATGACATAGCTCGTTGTCTTTTTGAATTAAGATAATTCTTTACATCAGTTCTTGTATATCCCAGATTGGTTCTTCCTCCTACATATTCACTCGTCAACTTAAATGATGACTTTTGATTAATCCCAGCTTTTTCAGCAGTTTCTAATTTAAAAGCTTGAGCCGATGTTAGTTCACGAAATGATGGAAACATGTGGACAGCTTCAGGGGGCTGGAGGTCATGATTATGATCAAGAAAAACTTCACTTATTTTGTATTTTCCATTTACTTGTACAACTTTCATTCTAGCTTGGCAACCTAATCTTGTCTCAGGTCTAGGATTCTTAGTGTATTTATCTCATTTGTCGGGTTTTCGCACCCCCTCTTTACGACAAACATATAGATAACTTAAATATGACTGATCCTTTTTACTTTTATTAAATCTCTCTTTACGAACACCAAAACCTGTTCTCCTTCTATAATCTTGCCAAAATTTCCATGAGTCTTCTATATTGTCAAATTCAAGATTAAGTCTAGGAGTCAAATTTATATCCATCATATAAGCCTGAAAAATAGACAAGTAGACACCCAATTTAAATTGATTGTAAATATAAATCTTATGCACAAATATTACACTAAAACTTGTAAAATAATTTAACAGAAGTTTATATAAATAATAAGAAAGAAGAATATCACATACTTGAGTAGTACATTCCAAGCCACACAAAATCAACATATATAGATTCCTACTCTTCCTATTTATCTAACTGGATACTGATGTACCATGTAATGCAAGGATTAAATCAGAGGCCTAAGAACAAGAGTCTTGTCATTGGAATTGCGTCACTAAATCCTGACCAAAAAGACTTCAATTTAAACATCCCACTCACACTACCCGGAGGTTCTAATGAACCCTGTCTTATGCTTTACGTATGTCTCTCATCTTTCTCCCCTCATTGTTCTTCCATTGATGTCATGCAGCTTTTAGTTTATCCTATTCTTCGTATAAGCATATGCAATTAACTATTTCAGTCTTTTAATTTGTAATGTATATTAAGAGCAAACTATGAAAACCAGCACCATTTAAATGAAGTATTAAAAACAGAGTTAAAATAATTGACATATATAACTTAGGGAAGCATCTGTGCATGTGTATAGAGCCAAAGAAGAAATAATTAGCAAAGTGATGAAACCAATGAGCACGCTCGTCGACTATCTCTTCTTGATCGCACAGCACTTGTAAAGTTCTTGGTTTTGGAGGCAAATTGAGGAATTTCCCACCCTGTTAGAGAAACATATGCAACCTGAAATGAAGTTGTAATGATGGGTAATTTTTACTTGGAAAACTGAAGAAAGTGAATGGCCCAGATATTTTTTTTTCAATAAGTGAAATGTTGTGTTTTAACGAAATGGAGAGGAAATGGAGAAAGAAGTCAGTGGAGACAAGCCGACCCCGAAAATCTTGGATCCTATGAGAGGTGGTGAGAGGAGAGAGAAAGAAGGGAAGAAGGGAGAGAGAGAAAATAAGCCAAAGCGATGGGGGCCATCTATTTCTTTTTTTTTTCAATTTTTAGAAATGCCAAGTGTTGTCATGTGACAAATGAAAGAGAATAAATGGTCAACTCAATCAATAGGATAGAATTATTTTTAAAAATTTTAGGATAATATTACTCTAATAAAAAGATAAGAATACCTACTGCTCCTTTCGAAAAACTAACAGGGTATTTTTGTTCCTTAACTTTTTATTAATTTATGGCAACATGATACTGTTTTGAAAAACATCAAAACAAAATTGTGTTAAAAAATATTTTAAAATAGTAAATATAGGCTTGGTATTTAGTTTACATTCACAAAAATTCATTTAAAAATTTAATTATTTATTGAATTTAATAAAAGTATATTTTAAATTTAATTTGAATGTGTCTTTGACAATTATTCAAAAAGGCCGTAATTGTATTTGCATAAAAAACTTTAGAGTTTAGATGTAAATTTGCATATTACACTCGTTTGGTCAAAATAATATTTGACCAAAAATGGGTTGAAGCACGAGTTTTGACTTTTGAAGCCAAATTGGGATCTCAGAATTATAGGAACCATCGATGCTGAAAGGCGGCAACATTAGACGCGCGTGAATATTACTTTTTTATACTATTAAACTATTAAAACCTCAAACAACCGCTAGCTAGCTAGTAGCTAGGTTAGTTTATTAACACTTGAAAAAGCAGACATCCTGGTATATTTACATGATAATATCAAAATTAAAAGAAAAAGAATATAAATGAAAAGGATTTTTTTCCCCTTCCCGAGACTGACACAATAATAAAGCAAGGATTTACTAACCTTCTCAATTATGCTTTTTTGGCTCATATGGTATGAATTGAATGTTACACTGTTACTTTTATTTCATAGGAGCGTATGTCATTTTAATGCATTATTAATACTATGCATACTTAAGTCTAGATACACAGAATCCATTCCATATAGTCAGGAAGGCAAACATAGTTTTCTCCTGTGACATGGGAGGATTTTTGGAAACAAAATTTTCAATTGGTTTCTTTCATAAAGTGTCTAAGAATAATGAGCAATGTTTGAGATAATGAAGTGCAAAAATGTCTATCGCACAGTAAGAGGATCTTTACTCAAAGCCCTCACATTATGAGCCTCATTTAGTTCTAACTAAGGAAGAATGAATCAAAAGATTTGAGGGGGAGTTACATGTGCACATCCTCTGACTCTGCAAATGAATCATTTTAAATTATATTTGAGGGAATTAAGTTGTACATTAAGGTTAGAAATGAAAGAGAAAGAAGAGGAAGCTACCAATAAGAAACTCAAGATAGAGACTAACAATTAAATTTTTAATAGTGATAACATTAGAAAAATATAATAAATACCCCCATCAAATATCTTATAAGAAAAGACTAACAATTCCTCAACTCCTGTCTTATAAAAAAAAACTAGAAAAGAGTATAGATATGCATATTAAGGATGGATCTAGCATGTCATGTATCGGGAGTAAAATTTTAAATTATCTAAATTAGATGGGGAAGCACCTCCATATGCCCCCCTTGGATTTGTCTCTAATACATACATATACTCCCTCAGTCCTTTTTTATAAGAGATGATGGATTGAGATAATATGTTACAAATGCAACTTGATTTTCCTTTCGAAAATGGGATTAAATAGTATTTTTACCTTTCAATTATTCATGTAAGATGTTTGGGATCTTAGTTTTTCTTTGGATGCAATGTTCCTCATCAACAATAAAAACTAATACAATTTTACATCATCTTAAATTTTAGGGTATCCTAATGAGTGCTTGAGCGCCCTTAAAAATGTGTTTTGAGCCATTAGAAACGGCTAGGAATGGTTTAAAAAGCATAGAAGGATATCTAACTACAAATAGCCATGGATAAAGAAAGGGCTGGACGCCTAGGCTAGGAATAGTGTAACTCCTTTTGGAATACAAGCTTGATCCTAATATTTATTCACTCTCATTATAACAAAATATGTTTTATAAACCCATGAATCTAAATTAAGTCATGCACAAACAGTTTAGAAAAGGGAGGCGATGGTATTATTGTGAATAAGTAAAAGGTTGAAGTGATATCTAAACCAGTTACAGGTTATAACTAGTTTAGATATTAATTAAATTTTAAATTTTTTTATTATAAAATAACATATAAACAGGTTATTATGAGTAACCAATTTAGATATACATTATAATTTTTGGAAAAAAATTGGCATATCTAAGCCGATTATATTTACCAACCAATTTAGATAAGTTAAAAAATAATTTTTTAACATATCTAAACCAGTTTTAATTAACAACTAGTTTAGATATTATTCTGTCATTTCTAAAATAGAGTCTCCATCATTCTTTCATCGTGCAAAGCCTTGAAATACAAACCCTAAAACCCTGAATCACCTATAATCAGAGTTGAAATCTTGAAACCTAGAGATCAAATTTAAACTCTAAATACTATTCTTGTGTCGTAAAATTCTTGTTCTTTCATGATTTGTTCATCTATTGGGTTTGTGTTCTTCTTTCGTAGGTTCAATCTAGGTTTCGCACAATCACTGAGCCTCATCACCTTCATAGAGCTTTTTACTTTGTTTCTCTTGCTTCATTCTTTCATGTTAGGTCATGCTTTAACCCAACTATTTTATTTAATTCTTATGAAGCATCTAAAATTCCAATATTTGAGCTTCATTTTATTTGTAGCTTTGATCTTCGATTAGCTGATTAATTTTCACAAGCTTCTATCCTTGAATTTGATTATGTGACTGTGAGCTTAATACTGGTTTTAAATTGAAAAAAAACAGAGCTTGATATTGGCTTTAGCTCATTGTGTTTGAGTTACATATATAGGGTGTTTGTTGAAATGTCTCTTAGAATTATTCTTTATTATATCCTTTCACATTGAACCTGTGGAGTTAAGTTTGTTAGATTAATCATTGCTACTATGTCACTAACAATTATCATGACATGTATTGTAGGTCACTTACAAAGTCCCTCTCAGTGTAGACTTTAAACATAGGTTGATGATTTAGGCTTGTGAGCGTTGGAGGAGTTTCAAGACATCACTAGCTCGTAGGTATGTGCATGTCAAGGTGCCAAAAGGATAGCTTTGGCCTAATCCTTGCATCCAATATACATTTTTGGATGTAGCTACTTTTGAAGAATTATTTAGACTTCAGACTACACCAGAGGCTTTAGTGAGTAGGTTTATTTTAATTTATTTTCTTTTGGTTCATTTAAGTTAAATGTGTTTTGTAATTTTAATTCACAAGAAAGAAAGAGAAGGGCACAAGAGATTGGGATGATAAATAATTGTCCTCAAATAATGTCTTGTAAGGGTTATGCTTTGGCCAATAAAGTCTTGATGAAAGCCAAGA